GGAGTTAGTGGAGGCCCTCAACTCTCTTTGTCTGCGTATATGCATTTCTGATTCCAATCAAAATAATAAAAAATGAAAAACTTAGGTATTCATGGATTAACAAATTAGAATATGAAAAAAACAAAAAAACAAAATTTTGATTTCATTTGTAAATAATACATATTAAATTGAATTATTTGATATTTAGTGAGTGATAAGTAAAAAATTGGGATTCTAACCCAAATCAATGAATTTACCTACCAAAACCACAATCATAAGTAGGAAATCTAAGTGGTCTGCATATAATAATATAAAGGATAAAGGCATTATATATATATATATATATATATATATATGTATAAGTGGGATTTTTCTCTAGAAAAAGAAGAAAAAATTAGGTTTTTCCTTTTTACTTAAGACATCAACTGCGTTACGGTATAATTATGGCTTATAATTGACCACCGCCTAAGCCAGTCAATTCCAGGCTTTATCTTATTTTGATAAATTGTTGTTTACTCAATCATGATGTTGCTTTTCTACCAAGTTCATTGTTTTTTTATTTAGTAAATTCCATATTTTTATAAATCAACGACTGGGTAATCCCTCCCACCGAAAGCTACTTCATCTTCCTGGTGTTCAAGTTGTCGTGCCAAACAAACATGTTTTTAATTTCTGACTAGTTGTACTCGTGCAAAAGAATGCTTTGAATTAATTCATTGTAACATTTGGGGACCGTATCATGTTTGTTCACTTTCCAAAGCTCGTTATTTTTTTACCATTGTTGATGATTGTAATCGAGCAGTTTGAGTTTACTTACTAACTGATAAAAGCCAGGTCAGTAATTTACTTCACAATTTCTACTTAATGACCCGACGACAGTTCGAAAAATTTGTCAGGATCATCCAGAGTGATAAAGGGACCGAATTTGAGTCTCGGGTGATGCAGTCATCTTACGCTTCAGCTGGTATTCTCCATCAAACATCGCTGGTAGACACTCCCCAGCAGAATGGTTGGGTGGAACAAAAACACTGACACATCTTTGAAGTCGCATGGGCTCTATACTTTCAAGCCAAACTTCCTTTCGAGCTATGGGGAGACTATGTCCTCACAGCCACTCATCTTATTAATTGCACTCCTAGCTTTGTTCTCAACAGTAAAACTCCACATAAAATTATGTTTTTCGCCTCCCCTGCATATAACCATCTTCGGGTTTTTGGATGTCTCTGTTATATTGTTGCAAATCCACGGGAAACCAACAAGTTTACTCTTCACGGTCGTCGTCGTTGTCTTCCTCGGATATCCATACAGTAAGAAGGGTTGGAAGATACTGGACCTGGAAACCTTTATAATTTTCATAACTCGTAATGTCCTCTTCGAAGAAACTGTCTTCCCATTTGCTCATATTCGCTTCGACAAAGAGTCAGAGCTACAGTCATCGTCTCCCTCTCCTTTGCCTTCTACAAGTCAGTGGGATTGGCATTATCCGAGTTTAGTTTCCTCGACAGGGGGAGTT